GTGATTACCTTCTTGAGACAAACCTGGCCCCTATAAGTTGTTTCCCATCCTTCTTTTCTCTCCTATCCAGTGAACTGAACAAGAACAATATGGTGAAGGAAGCATATCAAACAATGACCAAACTTACCACCCTTCTTATGGTAGCCCTCCTTCTCTCTCCCATGCTAACCAAAGCAACTGCTCGTCCGAGGCCTTCCACGGTGAAAACCCAACTTAGGGTATGTTCATTTCATTTCATCTAATTTCATCAATTGGTTGTTAAATATTTCTCTTGATTAATTTTTTGAACTTTTTAAATTTAATTAAGGGTTTATTTTATCTTTCTATATATATAGGATGGCGAGGCAGAGCTTATTGATGAGATTGATAATGAAGAAAGTTGCGAAGGAGTGAACAAGGAAGAGTGCTTGATAAAAAGGACATTGGTGGCTCATATTGATTATATATACACCCAGAAACCACCTCCCCAAGCCCCGAAGGCATGAATAATATCTTTGTGTAACATCAGCTAGTATCATAATAAAATAAAACAACATATTACTAATATATGATTTTCATGTGTTTTTGCTTTAAGGAGTTGCCTTGTTATTGGACTAAAAGGTCTGGTTAAGGGACTTGTGGGCATATTCTGGATCCATCTCAATAATCTAAATTGTTATCTCTGTTCAAAAAAAATCTAAATTGTTAACTTATTATGTCCATCAAGCAGATCATTCATAAGAAAGAAAGAAAAAAAAAAAAAAAAAGATAATTAAAACATGCTGCTTATTTTTTAAACGTAAATGTGATCTAAATATGTGGTTATCGATATTTTATAAACTAGATTTTTTGCTTAAATAATCTACTTGGGAGGCACTAAAATTGAATGATTCAAATGACCAATAGAAGCCCAAAGTAGGCCCACAACCCTTAAAAAACGTATAAATAGATCCATTAAACGATTGAGAAGTATCATTTTGTTCCTAAATTATAAAAATGTACGAATTGAACCCCCTAATGGAATGGGTCAAAGTGAAACATATCAATAGTTTAGAGGGATCCATTTGTACATTTTTATAATTTATGGGACAAAACGATACTTTTCAATAGTTTAACGAGTCTATTTGTACATTTTATAAGTCAAAGTGACACTTTTTAATAATTTGTGGGGTTTATACATAAATAACCCTTATTTTAATCAAACTAATATCACAGAGAAATTTCTATGAGTTTATTTATTGAAAGAAAGTTAATTTAATCACACTAGTAAGCTAAAGACATTACACTAAACAATAACACATATTTCACAAAGAAACTTTTCTGTGCAAAATTACATTTTGTGTAGAGAAATTATCTCAACACATTTAAAATCCAAAATAATAAAACACATCAAATAGAATCATACAGAGTTTCTATATGGAAAATTTATCTTACCTAAAGTTAAAATATACAAATTCAATGAATCCAGCCAAATGCAATATCTAACACAGAAATTTATGTCCTATAATAATGAAAGGGTTATATTTTGTAATTAAAAACTGTCTTAATAATTATTTGTTATAAAATGATAAAAACACATCACTTTTTATAATCTTTTTGTTTGTATAAGATTATTGTAATGAATTTCATTTGATTATTTGCAGTTTTCTAATTGTAACGCTGAACTGACAATTAGGTCCAGTTTTCCCAGTTTGACAGTAGTAATCTCAATATAATCTTTGAAAACCAGTGTAATCACAGTGTAATCTTCATGTGATTATGGCAGTTATATTTTTCTTCGGTAGTTATCTTGCCTATTATGAATCAACACAACTCTTCACATAAGCAAGTTTTAAGGTTGTGTTTGTTTGAGGGAAACATCATAGAATTGAACTATTTATCTTTATCAATCTTGTGTATTTGAATACAAAGCACACACAAGAAAAAGCATACTGTAGAAAATCCGATAGAGCATTATAGCTTAGCATCAACAGCAAAACCACACGGGAGCAGCCTAGCAGCATACCACCATAACACTCCAAATTACAGCCAGCAGAAGTTAAAGAACCAAAGAACAAACTCTAACATAATAGCATAATCAAAGCTTAAGAACCAAACCAAGTATAGCAGCTCCTCCATCTCTAAACACCATCTATACCCCAGACACACATCCACTGCTCAGGCCACTAACCAGCAGAAGGAATGGTACAATGAATAAGCCTCCACATAACTTTATACACTTTTGCCACCTCCCAAGATGAATCTGATGCGCTCTAAATTAAACATGAAATCATGAACTGAAAACATATGTTCCTTGAATACTTCCTTAAACCACACAGCCATTTTTAACTTAATCAGACCCGTTATCCCATCCACACTTGGGACAATATCCCAAAACAAGCATTCATTACGATGATTCCATAAGGACCACATTACAACTAAGGAGAAGGCATTCCACAACATCCTTTCCTTTTTGCTAAAACCCATCCCTGACCACCATTCAAGAATGGCCTCCACTGTAGCTGGCAAAGCTCCTTGTACCTTCCACCATCTAAGCATTTCATACCACACTCTCCAAGCCACTGGGCATAATAGAAGCACATGGACAAGTGACTCCTCCCCAGATTTGCATAGGCAGCATACTACAGATGAACTAGCAGGCAGAACACCAATCCTGTGAACAAACTCAGCCGTCTTTAGCTTTCCTTTCCAAGCGAGCCATCCAAAGAATTGAACTCTAGGTGGAACATGTTTTACCCAAATCCTCTTGCTTATTGGGCTGAAGTTACTAAAACCATCAACCAAGTATTTATACATAGATTGAACTGAATGCCTCCCAAATTCTGAAGCTTTCCGAACAAGAGAATCTTCTGAATGACACCTAATAACAGGACCTGCCTCAATCTGACTTACCAATCTGATTACCTCCTCTCTTTCCCAGTCGAACAGAGCCCTTCGAAACTAAAATACCCACTCACCAGCTTCCTCCTTCCTGACCATCATAGCAGATAGGGTTACTTTCTTATCAGCTACCACCCTGTACAACAGTGGGAAAACATCTTTAAGGCACAAGTTTTCACACCACTTATCCATCCAAAACTTAGGTCTATTACCATTACCCACTTTCACCTTACAGTTGTCCAGAAAAATACCCACCAGATTGCTACTCTGTTCAGACTGTAGTAGTATATCCTTCTACATTTTAGAGCACCTGACATTAGAGCTTACCTGAGGGCTCTAATTCCCCTCCTCAATCCTATATTTACTACTCAAAACTCTCCTCCACAAAGCTTTATTTTCCACACCAAACCTCCACCACCATTTTAACAGAAGGCATTTGTTAACCTCCTTTACTCTCCTAACCGCCAAGCCCCCTTGGTCTATAGGTTTAGCCACTTCCTTCCATTTTACTAAATGAACCCTCATCTTCAAATCAGAACCTCCCCACAGAAAAGAAGCTTGGAGCTTGTCCAAATCTCTAGCAATCTCCTGAGGCAACTTAAACAATGACAGGTAATAAAGGGGCAGCGAGGAATGGACAGATTTGATTAAAATAAGTTGCCCAGCAAATGAAAAAAGTTTCATTTTCCAACCAGCTAGTTTATTTCTGAATTTGTCTAATACAGGCCGCCAAGTTGCTTTCCTACTTGGGTTTGCCCCTAGCGCTAAACCGAGGTACTGAAAAGACAAACATTTAACTGCACAGTTCAACACTAATGCATACTCATCCATTTTCTTAGCCGAAATACCTACACCACATATTACACTTTTATGATAGTTTATGTTTAGGCCTGATATTATCACAAAGCACCTCAGTATCTTCTTAACATTTCTTACCTCCATTGCATCAACTTCACGTAATACCAGAGAATCATCTACAAACTGAAGGTGAGTAAGAACTAAACCATCAGAGCCAATCTTCAACCCCTTAATCAGCCCCAGATCCAAAGCTCTATTCATCAAAATGCTTAAACGCTCTGCAGCTATGATGAACAGAAAAAGGGACAAGGAATCTCCTTGTCTTAGCCCTCTCTGTGGAATGAACTCCTTAGTAGGAGAGCCATTACCAAGCATAGATAGCCTAGCTAAGGTAATACATACCTTAATCCACTCCACCAATTTTCCCCCAAACCCAAACTTGACCAACATGGAGAGTAGGAACTCCCAGTTCAGTGAGTCATAAGCTTTCTCAAAATCTAGCTTAATGATCAAACCTTTCTTTATGGACTTCTTGCAACTGTCAACAACCTCATTGGCCACCAAAACACCATCCAGAATGTTCCTTCCTCCAATAAAAGCTGATTGGTTTTCACTCACAATCTGGGGAATCACTGCCTTCAGCCTTGAGGACAGAACCTTAATAAGAATTTTATACATCGACCCAACCAAACTGATAGGTCTGTAGTCAGCCAACCCCACTGGATTCTCCTTTTTAGGTACCAAAGTGATGAAAGAGCTGTTAATACCTTTAGCCAACTTACAGTTCTTATGAAATTCAGACAAAAAATTTAGCACATCGGACTTCATTACCTTCCACAGTTTCTGAATGCAAGCCAAGTTAAACCCATCTGGACCTGGAGCCCTATTCCCATCACAACCCTTTACAACAACCTAAACCTCTGCCTTAGAAAACTCTGCCTCTAACAAATCAAAACACGGACTATCCCTCACTGACTTAAATGGTCCTTCCAAGACAGGCCTATGCTGCCAATCCTCAGAAAACTGCTTCAGAAAATGGGCTAGGGCCTCTAGCTTAACTCTACATGGATCATCAACCACCACATCCCTAATGGTTAGAGAATTAATTTCATTTCTCCTCTGTCTACACTTTACTAACACATGAAAATATCTTGTGTTTTTATCACCATTAAAATTCCAATTGAGCCTCGATTTTTGGAGCCACAACCACTCCACCATTCTTGTTAAACATCCAACTTCAACTTTAGCCTCTCTTTTTCTTGTTTTTTCTGCCTCTTCAAGCTCTCTTTCATCTGCTAACAAATCAATCATATGAAGCTCATCCTCTACCTTCTTCAACTTAGTATTTACATTACCAAAGACTTCACTATTCCATTGTTTAAGTGCTATTTTCAGCTCTTTTAGTTTCTGAAATAACCTAAACCCAGCCCAACCCTCAACCTGATGCTCCCTCCACCTCCTTTCCACAAAAGGTAAAAATTTTGGATGTAAAGTCCAAGCATTAACAAATCTAAAGGACCTAGGGCCCCAATCTCTCTCATCTTCCATTAATAGTAAAGGACTATGATCAGACAAAACTCTAGGAAGCCCCCACAGCTTCAAAGTAAAGGTTTCCACCCATTTTGGATCCACCATAACCCTATCGATTCTGCTCCATTTCTCCCATTCCCTGGCATTACACCATGTGAACCTTCTGCCTAATAAGGGCAAATCATTCAGCTCACTTCTATCAACAAAATCATTCAAATCCTTCATTCCCTTCTCCCTCCTAGAACAACCTTTCCTCTCTCCAATATTTCAAATTTCATTAAAATCCCCCCCCCATATACCAGGGCTTAGAATACTCATCCCTTAACTTGAGAAGGCACTCCCACAGTTTACCTCTTTGGCCCACTTCATTTGGTGCATACACATTGATCAAGACACAATCAAAAGAGAAGAATAAGGACCCAGAGAGAAGTATAAACCTTCTATTACAGCAGCAACTTGACACTTGAAAGACTCCTAGATCCCATATGCATAATAGGCCACCAGCAGAGCCTTCAGCATCCACAGTCATGAATTCCATTATATCCCTTGCCAAAGCTATTTTATCTCATTTTCTGACATGGAGGCCTTCTTTGTCTCTTGAAGAATAACAATATCAATACCTCTAACTTTCAACATCCTCTTTATTTTAGTCCTTTTTTCCTTTTTCTCCAAACCTCTGACATTCCACGTTAGTAGCTTCATCATAACCATTAACACTGAACTCTGACCCCCTAAAACTAAATTAATTCGCAGGAACTACATCCCCTCCCCTTCTTGCTCTATCCTTTGCCTCAAGGTCCATAATTTTGGTCAACACTTCCTCTTCTTTACCTTTGTAGTTTATACCCAGCAATTTTCCCATATGAATAGTGCCCTAAGCCTCATTAAGCAGCGGTCTACTTCTAGCTACTCCACTTGCAGTTGATTATGAACTAGATGCTGCCGCAATTGTTGCTCTCCATAAAGCTTCTTTCGAACCCAATTTACTAGAGGAAGCTCCTTTGTGACTATACCTTTTTGGCTGCTGAAAATACCCCTGCTTCATCTCTTTGATCTTCTTTCCACTAGATTTAGTAACTACTCTCTTCCTCCCTTTATTCTTCTGGTGCTTCTTCCTTGAGCTTAAATCGTTGCACTGTTTTTCTGATAAGTCTGAGCCTATCATTAAAGGACTCACTCCATCCTTAAGCCCACTCTGAAGACCAGCCTTGAAGCCCTGGGTTTGCATCTCTACCCTTTCCCTCATATCCACAAGCCCATTACATAGGCCTACCAATTTGCTCCGATCCAGCACCACCTCTAAATGGACCCCCGGTTTGAGTATACAAGAGCCACACAAACTTCTGATAGCACCTTGCGTGACAACCTGCTCATTACTTTTTTGACCTACCAACTCACAGCTGTTGCCTATGCTCCCAGCTACTTTCATGATGCTATCTGTTTTGCCCTCGAGCTCATTACCTGCAGACTCTGGCACCACTGTTTCAGATTGCCTTGGTAACCCCATCTCCACCTCATCACTACACCTCACTCTACCTGACCCATCCCCAATACACACCTTCTTTGAGTGGCCCAGCTCCCGAGCTGACTCACCATCCTGGTCATCATCTTCTACAGCCACATCAGTCGCCATTACCCCTACACTAACCTTCTCACCATTGTTTGAGCTGCAAACTCCTTCCACACCATGCTCCAAAGAACAATCATTCCTCTCTGCCCAAATCTTAGGTAACCCATATAATTGTTCCCACACTCTCACAGTATGGGAATATCCTTTGCACTCCAAATTGATGACTTTATTAATTGGCTCCATACACTTTGTTAGAATTTGAATCCTTACATATTCAAAAGATTCTGGGTTACATACATCACCTTCAAAATTGGGAGAAAAAAAAAGAACTCATATGAAAGATATAAAGAGGTAAAGTAGCGGTGTAAGTAGAATCTCCCTAATGACATAGGTCATATGTTTAAAGAATATTATATACATAAATACATAAGAGGTAACATATTACAAACATATAATAATAAAGGGTGTGTGAAATAATGGAGAGGATGTGAAGGAGAGTGAGACTAAAATTAGAAAAATGGCCCAAGCCAATGATGAGACCCTTAGATTAAAGCAAGCCACCTCATATGGGTTACCCACTCTAGTTAGCAAAAATTATTTAGTGTTATTTATTACAATATCACAAATGCATTTAAATTATTTATTTGTGTCCATTTTATTCATTTTGTTTGATTTACATTTTGAAAATTGCTTTTGAATATTTATTGATTTTTTTAATAGTTTAATTAATTTTATTTTTTTTTGTACTTTTTAAATATACCTATTCTATATGGAAAATTCTAGATATACTTAACAAATAAATTATCTATGAAGAAATTTAAAAAAAAATACAAATTTAGTGAATTAGTTTTAGACTTCTTCACAAATATATTACTTTTTAAGGACATCTAAATTTCATGGATCTAAAAAAAAAATTATAAAAATATAAAAAATGTTCTTAAAAACATAATTTGAGTCTAAGACCCATATGAGTAAAGTGATTTCTGGAAGGAACATGGTTGAAAGAGATATTATCTATTAAAAGATCATGCTTAAGTTAATTAGTCTTTGACTAATTAAAATTTTGAAAATCGGGGCATGACACCAAAACGGGAAACAAAAACTTCAAGGGCTAACTATGAAATTACCAAAACTTGAAGTGGTATAGTGTAATTTATTGAATAATGAGTTACTTTGTCACATGGCTACCAACATGCTATTTTTTTTGACAGATGTTAGCTATTGGAGCAAATTGGGAAAAGTTTGAAATGTTAAGGGCCTAAGTGAAAAAGTGAAACTACTAAAATGAAAAATGGTGAAACTTGAGTGCAAAGTGCAATTTACCCAAATAGTTAAGGTGGGAAGAGGACGTGGAAGGCTTAGTGATTAGATTTAGAAGTAGATTTTGCATCTTTTGTATTAATTTTGGAAGATTGTTTGAAATCAAGTTTTGAATGTTTTTAATTTTTGAATAGAATTTTTTTTTTCTTTTTCCCTTTAATGTATAGATGGGAAGATAACTTTCTTTCGATGTATAGATTGCATTCTGTAATGTGTCTTTAATATAATTTCTTTATTTATAAAAAAATACATTTTACTATAATAACAAACCACCAAACAAAAGAGGAAAACAAAATTTATTGTCTTTCGTTTTTTCCCAGACAATTGAATGCATTCTTTAATATTTTAGGCGTCTTTAACTTGTAAAAAATGAATACAAGAATTTATTATGAAATAGAAGTGTCCATTTTTAGATTTAGAAGTAGATTTTTGCATCTTTTGTATTAATTTTGGGAAAATGTTTGAGGGCCACAATTTTTGTGGCCACAATGGCTCAAAACTGCCAAAACGACGTCGTTTTGACATGTTTTGCACCCAAAACGACGTCATTTTGGCAATTTTTAAAATTTTTGAATAGATTTTTAATGTGTAGATTTTTTTAAATTTTTTTTAAATGTATAGATGAGATAACTTTTCTTTCCATGTACAATTGCATTCTTTAATGTGTTTTTAATATAATTTATTTATTTATAAAAATAAAAAATAAAAAACATTTTACTGCAATAACTAACCAACAAACAAAGGAGGAAAATTTTTTTTATTACCTTTTTCGTTTTTTCCCAGACAATTGAATGCATTCTTTAAAATTTTAGGCCTCTTTGACAACTTGTAAAAGATCAATTAATTTTGTTTTACACTTTTTAGCCAGAAAAATAATTAAACAAAAAAAGCCATTTGTCATTTGTCACATCTTACAAGGTAAAAAAAAAAAAAAAATTCTAAAATAAGTCCCAAAAAAATTTAAAATTTAATGTATAAACTGCAGTAAAATGAATCCATAATGGTTTTGCTAATCAATATCTTTGGAAAACTCATTATCAAGTCCACGCTCCTCCGTACGACGTCGCTTTATAACCTGAAAACAAAATAAGTCCAAAAAAAATTTAAAATTTAATGTATAAACTGCAGTAAAATGAATCCATAATGGTTTTGTTAATCAATATCTTTGGAAAACTCATTATCAAAAAGATAAAAGTATAAAAAAATGTTATATAAACTTGTAAATTTTACAATTGTTTTTTTATTATCTAATGTATAGTGCAATAACAAAAATTTGAAAACTAAAATAGGAGACTTTAGTAATGCAAAAAGTGTCACATCATTAAATAATTTTTTTTTATTTATAAAATTTAATAATTTGTATAACAAATATAACACATGATTTTTCTTCATGAATTTCAAATCTAGTGCACATAAAAACCGATACAGACCCTTATATACGTGGGGGTCAAAGGGAGGAGAACCAATCATTTTTGATATTTTAAATTAGGAAAAAGACAAGCCAAGCAAAAACCACAGCGAGTACAGTAGGAGAAAGTGTGCTTTTTTTTTTTTGAACAAAAAGTGCGCTTTCAATTTCTACGATTTTGCATTGATTCTGTGGGGGTAATTAAGGTGATGTTTGGGAGGAAAATTTTTTTTATTACCTTTTTCGTTTTTCCCCAGACAATTGAATGCATTCTTTAAAATTTTAGGCCTCTTTGACAACTTGTAAAAGATCAATTATTTTTTTTTTACACTTTTTAGCCAGATAAATAATATATATAAAAAAAAACCATTTGTCATTTGTCACATCTTAAAAAAATATATATTTTCTAAAATAAGTCCAAAAAAAATTTAAAATTTAATGTATAAACTGCAGTAAAATGAATCCATAATGGTTTTGTTAATCAATATCTTTGGAAAACTCATTATCAAAAAGATAAAAGTATAAAAAAATGTTATATATACTAGTAAATTTTACAATTGTTTTTTTACTAAAAATGTTATAGTGCAATAACAAAAATTTGAAAACTAAATAGGACCGACTTAGGTAATGTAAAAAGTGTAACATCATTAAATAAAATTTTTTTATAAAATTTATTAATTTGTATAACAAATATAACACATGATTTTTCTTCATGAATTTCAAATCTAGTGCACATATAAACGTAATGTACTCTATACGTGCATCATCAATAAAGTTTTCTTTGCCGATAAAAAAATAAATAAATAAATAAACGTAATGTACTCCTTGGTTCATGTCTTGGTTCATATATATTTTAAATCAGGAAAAAGACAAGCCAAGCAAAAACCACAGCGAGTACAGTAGGAGAGAGTGTCCTGTCATGTTTATTAGGTAAATATTGTGGATTATTAAGTTTGGTTTGATTCGAGCTCATCTTTCAATTTCTACGATTTTGCATTGATTCTGTGGGGGATATTTATTAGGTAAATATTGTGGATTATTAGGTAATTAAGGTGATGTTTGGGATGCAGCTACAAATTTTTTTTTTTTTTGACTAAATAAGCCAAAATGCAACCTAACTTTCAACTCGCAAAAAATATATATTTTTAACAATTTCTTAAATACATTAACTTTTTTAACCTCTAAAAATGCTTCAAATCTACTAAAATGTCAAAAGAACTCTAAATGAGTTCAAACCCAA